AAGCCACAGAACTGATTTCTGTACAGAAAGCTCCAATAGGGCAGCATGCCACCAGAACCCAAAACGGTAATGGACACCGTGGGAAGCCACGTGCTCACCACGCTGGGAGCGAGGCCTGCTGTCCTCACGGCCGGCATTTTGGATGGAATTCTGCAAAGGAAAGCCAGCAAGATAATGGCATCTTTTGTCAACGGCAGTGTTTTGACAAACACAATTAGATAACGATGAGGGAGCAGGGAGCGCGGGGTGGGCTGAGGACAGAGGGTGAGCTAGCGCACTGCCCCGGGCCTCCTGCCAGGTGGGATGCGTGTGACATTCCTCAGGCCCTCCTGGCTGCCCCAGGACAAAGGAGAGGAAAGAACAAGCGGCTCACAGAGATCAGTCTTAGAGGACACGAGTCTCCCATCAGTTTACAACTGCCTTGGTAAATTTCAAGAAAAAGGCAATCTTATCAATGGCCTGGTCTCCAGAAACCTACAGACTCAGTTTCCTGGAGCCCCAACATCATCCCTCCTTAGTGACTAGTGACGTGGGGAACAAAGGCAGGAAGGAAATGGCAGGTAAAATTAAATCTCCTCATCACCTGCAGCCCATTGACACATATTTGAGGCACATAAAGAGAACGTTTCTCCAGGAGCCTCCTACTGTCATGTTAATGCCTTACCCGAGGGAAAACCTTTGCTTGCCAACAGCAAGGCCTCAGGTATCTTAGGAGTCCTCTAGCATATTAAAGGCCTTCTGGAGGCTTCCCTTTTGTCTGTACTTTCCCCCCCATAGTATATAATGAGCCACTCTTCACAACCCCAGCGCAGCTCTTTAACCCCAAGGGTCCTGTCCCCGTGCTTTAATAAAATCATCTTTTTGCACCAAAGACGTCAAGAATTCTTTCCTGGTCGTGGGCTCCAGACCCCCACCATCACCCCAAAACCTCATCAGATAAGGGGTGTGTGAACTCTTAGGCATTTTATGACAAAAGGCAAACATCTGGTGTTTCCATCAAACTTTGAATCTGGTGGGGCGCCTGGGTGGCTTGGTCGGTTGGGCGTCCGACTTTCGCTTGGGTCATGATCTCGCGGTTCGTGGGTTCGGGCCCCGCGTCGGGCTCTGTGCTGACCGCCAGCCCGGAGCCTGGAGCCTGTTTCAGTCTGTGACTCCCTCTCTCTCTGACCCTCCCCTGCTCACGCTCTCTCTCTCTCTCTCTCTCTCTCTCTCTCTCCTAGAAATAAACAAAAAACATTAAAAAAAAACAAAACAAAAAACTTTGAATCTGGAAATGCATTCAGCCTGAAAAAAGAAATGATGTTTTCAAACTAATGCCCCCAAACGCCGCTTACCAAGAGAAAAATGTTGGCTCACTATACTCTGGTGAAAACAGATTACACAAATACACAGCTAAAGACAAACGCCAGCAATGTGTCTTCCCATCTAATTTCAAAGTTTAGACAAAAGGTGTGTTAAAAATCTCAAAAGCTGAAATTAAACCAGAAGCTGCATTAATCGGGTCACGGGTCCTACCCTGACTTGCTTAGTGTTTTGAAAGACCTACGCGTGAAGAACCAAACCAGCGCCATGACAGGCTTCAGAAGGCCCCAGAAATTAAAAGGCCCAAGTTTCTGAGGCGCGACTCAGCAGGCTTAAGCAACCTCCCTTCCCCCTGCCCGAACAAACTACTGGAGGTTGGGAAAGGACCGGACGTTCCCGCCACTTTTCTGGCCCGCTTAGTTTTAAACTCACCAATCCCTCCACCCGCATCACCGTCTGCCGTCACCCTGTCCTGTCACACTGTAGTCTCTGCCCATCGCCCCTTTCCCCGCCCTGTGATAAAAACCCTATTCCTCCTTTGTTCGGGGCTCTCAGCACGGATGCACTGCGTTGGTGAGGTCTGGGGGCCCGAGCTTAAGCCCGAATAAACGCCCTTTGCTTTTGCATTCGTGACTCGGACTCCTTGGTGGTCTTGGGATTTGGGGGAGATCGCGATCTGGGCACAACACCCCTAGTTTTTTACAACTGACAGAGATCTCTTTCCGAAAAGCAGTTTGATATGTTGGGAAACTTTCTCAAAGCCCATTTGTCTCCCCATTTATTTGGAAAACGGAATTACATTAAAGGAAAAATAAAAACGACTATGTTGCGATTTCATTTAAGCCGGCATCCTTGAATACGTACTGGATTCCTGTACATTTATAAAAGATGCCCTTCGCCGGCCAACGTGAAAAGACAAGAAAGCGTAAGAGCAGCAATTTATTTGCTTAATTGTAAATAGGAATGAGTAACAGAAGTCCAAAAAAATGAGCAACGTCCAATTATTACATCCATGGTCAAAAATCAGTCCTTAGGGCTTTACCACGGATTTAAGAGCTCCACCCCGACTTCCCTGCGGGCCACTCTCCTGCCTCGTCCCCTCCTCCAGGTAGCCCTGGCTGGACAGTCCAAGTTCCCTTCGCTGCGAGCACCACGAGTCAGATGAGAGGCCCTTCCCCAGTGAGACACGAGGGTAAGGCCGAGAGGCTTCTGGAGAGGGCTTGGGGGCTAACAGGGTCACGAGAGGCACAGAGGGGATGTCCTCTCCTTCTGGGGAGTCACGGTCCCCGAGTGTGGGTGGCTGTCATGCTGTGACTTGCCCCACAGGGACGTGAGCTGGCTGAGCGCAGGGAGGTGTGCAGGAGCCAGCCCACCGCAGGCTTAGTGAGGGAGGCTGTCCTTACAGGCAGGCTGAATCGGGACTTCCCGGTCCTTCCGGTTCCATACAGCCTGAGGTACTCCCTCCTTTGAGCAATGCTTCCGGATACGTCATCTGGAGAGGCCCGCTGAGATCTGGGATGACACAGTGTGGCCACCCAGATGACTCACCGCAAGAGACAGGAGCAGCAGCTTCCTCAGTGACAGTCCGCGTACGCATCAGCTCCACGAACGTTTTCACGGGGCACGCCGCACACACTCGTTTTGTCAGCACTTAAAATACAACAAAAACCACCACCATTGCTTTGCTTTAATAAATGTTTATTTAGTGCCTGCTAAGCGCGAGGCACTGTGTTTGCACCATGAATATGCAGATGAACAAGGCGCAATTCTTGCCCTTAACAAGCTCACAGTCTAGTGCAGGAAATGAGACACGTACACAAGTAACTATCATACAAGGCAGAAAGCGATAAATGCCATGAGACTGATCCCAGTAGAGTATTATGAGAGGAAGAAAACACTACTTTTGGATGGAAATACGAGATTAGAGAAGGTGCCTTAGAAGTAGGGGGTCTACAGGTCAAGTGTACACAGAGACAATTAAGGGGAAAAAGTAAACCAGGGAGACTTCAAAGTCAGGGGCCAGAGTGCCAAGTGCTGAGGTGGGAGGAGGAGGGATGGGGGGGTGGGGGGGACAGGTGGCTGGAAGATGTGTCTGGAAGATGTGTGGGCTCCCCTGAGGGCGGTTCTATACGAAATGCCAGGCAAAGCTGTGGAAGAGGTGATTGTACTCTGCTTTATAAAGCTTAATCTGGAGGCAGTGGATAATGACTTCACAGGAGGGACAAGTGAGGGAGGAGGCCCGTTAACAAATGATTGCAGGGGCGCCTGGGGGGCTCAGTCAGTTAAGCAACCGACTTCGGCTCAGGTCATGACCTCAAGGTCGTGATTTCGAGCCCCAGGTAGGGCTCTGTGCTGACAACTTGGAGCCTGGAGCCTGGTTCAGATTGTGTCTCCCTCTCTCTGCCCCTCCCCTACTCACACTGTCTCTCCCTTTCTCAAAATATATAAAAAAGAAGTTTAAAAAAAAAAAACGATTACAAGAGTCTGGACTGGAGTAACAAGGCAGCCACAGTGAGAACGAAGGCATTTTGGATGGAAGACCAGAAGGAAGTGGGGAGACAGGGGAATGGCTAAATATGGAAAATGGGGGGTAGAGCAGGTAAGGGGGTGGGGGAAGGCGACAGAGTTTCACACTTAGAGACAGAGAAGGACCCACCCACGAGCTAGGAAAATCCAGCCGAAAAGCCTGAATGGGGGCAGAGAGGCAGGAAGAAGGGAGGCTGGGTGCCGGTGGGCGTCCGCGCGGAGGGTCCAGCGGGTGGTGACAGAGGGACTGCGGGTTCGGGGTAGAGGTTCAAGCTGGAACACCAGCCGGACAGCCGTCCGTGCAGTGGCGACCGGCGCGGCCCACGCGGAGTGCAACCTCTGCCGCCTTTCCTTCCCTCTCACGCGGGCTCCTCACAGACCCGCCGCGCACCGGGGGCGGCGGTTTCCCTCCGCGAGCTCTCCGGCCGAGAAGCCTGTCTTCACCGCTGGGATTCCAAGCGGGAAGGCTGCCTGCCTCCACGGCGGAGGGTCGTTCTGAAAAAACTGACTCCAATGAAAGTTTTTAAAACCTTTTCATTATCATTTACTTTGAAGTTTTCCGTAATAAAACTATTTTCCTAAGGATTTCAGAAGAGCTACTGATGTTTCCCGCCTCACTGCACCTAAGAGCATGAAGGGACCAGCGAGGTCACCACTTTCTCCCTCATTGCACAAATGAGGAGATCGAGGCCCTGAGAGGCCAGGGGGCTTGCGGGCACCTCGCACGGCAAGGCTGGCCGAACTGGCGTCACGAGCAAGATGGTGTATTTTCTTTGTGCCACGACTCTGCTCTGGACCACCTGACACACAGACAGACAAGTGGGTAGACAGACAGACAGGCAAACAGGTACGTAAGTAGGGAACGAGGAGCAAGAGTGACTGGGAATAACACATTTACATCTGAACTTCTTTTTCAGGTGGGGAAAGGAGAGAACGGTTTCTGATAGAAAGGCAATTTTTTCTGGACCCAGCGATGCCTTGCAGATCTGAACAGGAAACTACTCTGACTCTCTCGAAACATTAAAGTGCACTTAACCAGAAAACATTGGGCTACGTCACCACACCTCACATTCAGTTAGCCTCACAGTCCGCCGCGACAGAAACGATGGCATTCTTGGTTGGCACATGTGCACGTGGAAAGGCCGTTTGCAGGAAAACAAGGTCAATACAAATTAGACTTTAGATTCTTTTATCCGTCACAGACCCAAAACGCCCATGGGAATTCCCTCTTAGAAAGTTACATGAGAAATCCTCAGAATGAGGTTCTAACTACATTTACACAGATGATGGAGAAGAAAAGAACTCCATTCCAATACCGAAGTCCCAAATACCCAGGCAGGGTTCTGATGCATGGCCGTGTGGCAGCCAGAGTCCATCGGCCTCTTCCCCATCACCTGGAAATACACATCCCATCGAGTTTGTAATCGATGGCTCCCTCTAATAAAGGCTGCTTCCGCACGCCCCCCAGGCCCGCTAGAGTCTGCCGGCAACACCTCAGTGAGAGCTGTCAGATCTTCCAAAACACCTTCTTTTTATAGAGAATGTAGGCAATGAGCACCCAAAGCGCAGAGGCGACTATGTTCTGAGTTAGATGCTCTTTGTGCGACTGGTTGTCCCCCAGCTTCCACTGGAAGGGGAAGTAGTTCTCAAACACCTCGTGGCCAACGTACACCAGGATAGAATTCATTCCTGGAGGAGAGATGCACGAGGTAAGGCTTTCCGGAGCCACATCCGATCATCTGCTTAATTCTGGAAATGTGACTTTGGTTCAGGGGAAAAAACAAAAAGCTCATACCTACACCGTTGCCTACTGTCAAAACTACATCATGTGTATGTTAGGTACTTACGTGTAAACTGGATCAAAAATTAGAAATATTTGTTAACAGTGTAATCCGTGAATACTAAATCTGCAAGGAGAGCCAGAATTATGAACTTGTATTTTCTAGACCAAAAACTTGAGGTCAGAAAAATGTAACTATCACAAACATCAACGGGCTGAAGTAAGTCATAGAAATGATCTGGTCTATCTCACAGTCTTCAAGTAGAAATGCATTGAAACCATTTAGTTCTTGATGCATCTTGTGATATTTCTTGTGCATAATCTGTAAGGTAGTAGATTTATATTCAGAAGGCAAGCACGGCCCCAGTGCTGAAGCATCAGAAGCTGGGCAGTACTCCCTGAACAGTTTCTGATGCTCCATAACTTGGCGTTGCCAGAAGAAACAAGTGGAGGGGCGCCTGGGTGGCTCACTCAGTTGAGCATCTGACTTTGGCGCAGGTCATGATCTTGCAGTTTGTGAGTTCAAACCCCGCATCGGGCTCTGTGCTGACAGCTCAGAGCCTGGAGCCTATTTCAGCTTCTGTGTCTCCCTCTTTCTCTGGCCCTCCCCCACTTGCACTCTCTCTCTCTCTCTCTCTCTCTCTCTCCCCCCACAATCTAAACAGATAAAATGAGCGGACAGCTTCCGAACAGACCTGGGACAGCGTGGCCCCAGCTGCTTTCTCCCTCAGCCTGCATCTTGCAAACCTGCCACGGAGGCCAGGGGCCCGAGGCCGCAGCACTGGGCACGCTCGGCATCTCTGGACTGACCCACTTGGTCGCCATGATCGACTCCAGGCTTAGAGGCGACTTACCTGGATAGAAGAATGGGGCTCCCGTCCACAGTCCCTTCACGTCCACAATGGGGTACAGGATGAGCAGGATGAAGAAGGCAAAGGAGCTCAGTGTGGTGACATAGGAAATGGACCTATGAGGCGAACAAGGGGTCTCAGGCCTCCTGAGGAACACACCCAATGTGTTAGCAGGCCCAACCCAACATGAAAACGACATGCTTTTCTATACCTACCACAGATTCTTGTTTATTGGAATAAAGCCGTCATTTTCAGAAATTTTCGTCAAAGCAATAGAAATAAGCCCCTGAAATGGAGGGGGGGGGGATTGTTAGTTTCTTATATTATCTCAAAAAAAACCACGGTTTCAAAACTGGTAAATACGTTAATTGCTTAAGGAGGGCTGAAAATTGTGTTTTTTATTTTTTTCTTTTAACTGGAAAAATATTTTCAAGATGCGTAATTAAAGATATTCTCCAAAAAAATCTCCAAAGCATTTTCTTCTGAGTTGAAGGTAAATTAATTGATAGACAGAGAGGAAACATGAGGGATAAAACGAACAGCCAAACTGTTCTCTCCATTACAGTGAAGAACGTGGCTACTGCGATGTGGTGACAGCCGCTCTCCAGTGCCACTAGACGTTTTATTTCCTTGAAATACACGTGTAGAAGGGATTTCAGTGAGGAGCATAGGTTACTTACCAGAAAACAACACCAGGCAGTGAATCTGATCAGAATGTCTTTGGTCTGGCCCTTGTAATACAAGAGTATTTTTCCCGCCTGGAGAGGAAAACACAGATAAACCAGAGACCTGCTTAAGGTGTAGCTGCATTTCATGCTCATCCACGGCCCTAATCGCTCATCTGCCAGGCACGCTGCTAGGTGCTGGGATTTCCAAAAGGGATGGAACGTCACCCCTGCCCTAGACAACTGGACAGCGAGGCACAGGGGACGACTCGGGAGGGGAGGAGACACCAGACAGGAAGTGCTATCAGGTTGAGGCTACGACTGCAGAGCAGGAAGGGCATCTGGGCAGGATGGAACAGCATGTACAGAAGCATGTCAAATGGCTGAAGGGGCATGTGTCCCTGAGCTGCAGGTAATTGTCAAAGGCTAGAGGGTTGGGACGGGCAGGAAGGTGATAGGCAGGTGGGCTTGCTTCTCTGTGAGGCACAGGCTTTCTCCCATCGGTTAGAGGGAGTGGAGGAAAGTCCCTTCCCACCCCCACCCACCTCAAAAAAAACAGTAACGAGGGACTAGCTCTGACTGGCCTGCTTGACGGCCCAGTCTGGCAATAGTACATAAGGGGACAGCGTGGAACTAGAGGTAGAGAAAATTTCTGGAAACAATACAATCTGGACTTTGCATAAAAATCCCCCAAAATTAGGAAGTAACTTCTGAAAGCGTCAAAAGAAAACGTTCACAATAATTTGTAAGTAAGCTAAGATTTATGAATGTTTTCTATATGCCAGTTGTTAGAATTTTACATAGATTAGCTTGTTGAATCCTCTCAACAGCATCAAGAGGTGCTACTGGAGCACAGAGGAGGGAACATGCCTGAGGCTGCCCAGCTAGAAAGTGCTGGAACCTCTGAACCCTACCCTAAGCTGCTCCCGCGGGCACAGACTTACCTCAAGAGCAAACACAGGCATTAAATGAATGTATGTAAAAGTACCCACTGTGAACTACAGGGTGCTATAGCGATAAGTATAAAGCACTATTTCTAAATACGAAGTCACCAAAATGTATATGCTTTAGACCTACACCATCCAATCTGGGAGCCACTAGCCTCATGAGCCTATTTTAAATTAAACTTAAATTAATTAAAATTCAATGAAATTTAGGGGAATGTGGGTGGCTTAGTCGGTTGAGCATCATACTCTTGATTTCAGCTCATCAGGTCGTGATCTCACAGTTCATGGAATCAAGCCCCACATCGGGCTCTGTGCTGGCAGCATGGAGCCTGCTTGGGATTCTCTCTCTCCCTCTCTCTCTGTTCCTCCCCCATTCATGTGTGCTCTCTCTCTCTCTCTCAAAATAAATAAACAAACATTAAAAAAAAAAAAAGAATAAAACATGAGGCGCCTGGGTAGCTCAGTCAGTTAAGTATCCGACTTGATTTTGGCTCAGGTCATGATCTCATGGTTCGTGAGTTTGAGCCCCACATCAGGCTCCATGCTAACAGCTAACAGCATGGAGCCTGCTTGGAATTCTCTCTCCCCCCACCCCCCGCCTATGCTCTCTTTCTCGATCAAAATAAGTAAACATTTTAAAAATTTAATAATACAATTTAATTCAATGACAAGTTCAGTTCCTCAGTCATGCTAGTATACCACATTTCAAGTTAAAAGCCGCATGGACATAAAGAATATTTTCACTATCACGGAGCATTCCATTAGTGTTTTACAGGCTCTTCCTTCTCTAGTCAGCTCTGCTCAAACAATAGTTTCAAACATCAATAAGAAGAACATTAGGGGCAAAAAGTCTAGGCTGTTCAGAATTTTAACAAAATTGCACATAAGATAAACCAAGAACCACCTTTACTGACTTTGGCATAACATATGCATAACCTGAAAGCTACAAAGTGTACATGAAAGAAATGTGCCAAGTGACACAGAGGCTTCCCAACGTCACCAGCACCAAACACCCTGCACACTCCCGCAGGGACACCTTTTACCCACAAAGTGCTGGCTTCCGTTGCTAAGATCAGCCACATAAATGATGAGAAGCTGGAGAGGCAGATAGGACTTGTACAGAATTATTTCAATGCGCTAAGTTTTAGCAATGTCTAGTTTTGACCATCTGTCACATATAAGCAGAATGGATTATACCACAGAAGACGTGCTCCCAGTTCCTTAGTGAAATGGTTTTTGAATTAGTGATGAATCAATAATCGTGAGCTGTCAGAAGAATGTACCCTAATGAAATGAGCAAATACCTGCACTCCTAAAAACGCCATCACAATGGAGTTGATAGTCCCTAGGATTCCCTCTGGGTCGTAGGCCACCTCGGTGTGATAAAGCACCTAAGAAAACAGAAAAAGAAGGCAGAGCCCACTCACCGTGAAATGCACACCAATAACTCAGAGACTAAGCAAAGACTTGAGGACACTCCAGGATTCAATGTTTTTTGTTTCTGCTGCAGAAATTCACTGCCAATTTGCGGGGATTACAGGCAGAATACTTCTGGCTAACAAGTGTGCGGTGTGGGGGGTGTGGCGCCAGAAGGGAACTTGGAGCCACGGGGACGAGCCGTGGTCCAGAGCAGCCACTTAAACCTCAGGTGCCCGGGAACTCAATGGGTCCCCGGCCCACCTCCAACGCTGTGCATAACACCTTCGTAACTGTCAGGCTTATTCCCTCTGGGCAACCCTACTGTAAACATCAAATAGACGTTCTTTCCTAACTTCTCTTATGGCAAATAACATTTATTTTTTTTTTCTTTTTATTTTTTTTTATAATGTTTTTTTTTTTTTTTTTTTTATTTCTAGGAGAGAGAGAGAGACAGCATGAGCAGGGGAGGGTCAGAGAGAGAGGGAGTCACAGACTCTGAAAGAGGCTCCAGGCTCTGAGCTGGCAGTCAGCACAGAGCCCGACGCGGGGCTCGAACCCACGAACCGCGAGATCATGACCTGAGTGAAAGCCGGACGCTTAACCAACTAAGCCACCCGGGCGCCCCGCAAATAACATTTAAAAATATATCTGTACTGGGGTGCCTGGGTGGCTCATTCAGTTTAGCGTCTAACTCTTGATTTTGGCTCAGGTCATGATCTCACAGTTCGTGAGTTCCAGCCCTGCGTCAGGCTCTGTGCGGACAGTGCGGAGCCTACTTGGCATTCTCTCCCTCCCTCTCTCTCTGCCGCTCCCCTGCTCATGCTTGCTCTCGCTCTGTCTCTCAAAATAAACATTTAAATGTGTGCGTGAATATATATGTACTATTTTATTAATAAAAACAAATGTTATTGCAGAAACTGCAGAAATTTGGAAATACACAGTGTAGTGGATGCCCCAGTGCGTCACCTAGATGTCCCCGTGCCCCACCCCACCTCAGCACTAAAGCATTCGTTCCCTGAGCTGGTAGAAATATTAGTGGCGGAAAAGCTCTCAGCCAAGTCCCTTTTCCAGCTCTGTCCCTGACTGAAGACAGCTGCCTCTCCAGGCGCCACACCCCCTTGCTGGGGTTAACACCCAGGGTTAACAAGGGCCCGATCCGCACTCCAATTCAGAACAAGTGTAAAGCATCAGGCACAGGCCCCCCGCCCCCCCAGGAGATGAACGAAGGCCTGGCTAACTGCGAGCGGCCCAACAACCCCTTGTGTGCGTCCCTGCTCCCTTTGATCCCGGGCAGGCAGCGATCCCAAAAGGACGGCCTGACAAGCTCCCTGTACGCGAACCTCGGCCTCAGAGTCAGCTGCCGGAAGTCCAACCTGAGCCACAGGAGAAGGCAGGCTGCCGCGTGCTGGACACGTGCATTCTCACTTTCAAATCCAAAGTAACGGACGCACACATTTAATGAACATTAAAGTTCCTAAATCAGCCAACGTCTCAAATAAAAACTAGTTCCCATCACAGTCTGCTAGGCGGACGGTTTCCAGTTGGCCAGCCCCTTCTGTTTTCCTTCACTTCCGACCCCCCAGTTGTCTAGTTCCAAGTGCAAGCTAGGCTCACTCACGGCCGAAGAAGGGTGCTGGTAAATGTGGTCATCGCCCAGAAGCAAGCGGTCAATGTAGCCAGCAGCTCCTCCGGTACAATTTGGATACTTCCCCCAATCACCAATGCCGCCAGGGCCGAGGTAACCACTGGGAAAGAGAACATGTGCTTCACGAACCTGTGCTTCAGAGGGGCTCAGGGTATGTACTGGCACCTGTCGCAGCCCAACAAGTGGCTTCAAACACTGCGACCTTGCGGCGCCATGTGCCCTTCAGCCATGTTCCCCGCGCTAAGGTGGGCGGCCCCGCCTGCGTTCACACTGACCCTGAGAAAGCCTCACAGAGACATTCCTCTGGACTTCCACCCAACCCCTCCCAATACGCACTATGCCTCAGAAAAGAAAGAGTAACAGAGAATTCCTCTCGGGAAATCTGCAAGCTATCACCCCAGAAGCTCCGAGCTGGCAGAAAATGACATGCAAAAAGGGATTACGTACATGGGCTCACTTACGTAGGACATCCAGGAACAGGCAAGAAGAATGTCAAGCCCAGCCAAATGCTTTCCAGCATCAGAATGCAGAGCCACTGGGGCCAGCTGAAGATGATGTCTCGAAGGGAAAAGCAACTTCTCTCCTGAGTGAGGGGCACAAGGACATATATATGAAGATAGCAGAATAGGAAAAACTATGCATAAATGTATTTGGGAAATTCCATGGGATTCCTCTCTGGCCTTGATGGAATATATACATGCATGTTTATTTCATATATATTATATGGTCTAGCTGCCCCTCTCTATGAAATATCACAATAAAACATTAGTTAAAAAGAAAGCACTGGATAATTCCACTCTTATACCCAAGAGAATTGAAAACAGATGTTCACACCAAAACTTGTACACAAATACACATAGAATCTTTATTCATAGTAGCCAAAGAATGTAAATAAGTCAAATGCCCATTCCATTCATAAAATGGAATATTATTCAGCAGTAAAAAGGAATGAAGCACTGAAACATGGCACAACATGGATAAAAACTTGAAAAATACGCCAAGTGAAAGCCACCAAACAAAAAGGCACATATTGTACAATTCCATTTATATGAAATGTCAAAAACAGGTAAATCTACAGACATGGAAAGTAGACGAGGAGTTGCCTGGGGCTGGCGGAGTCTCGGGGAAACAACAAGTGGCTGATAGTGAGTACGGGGTTTCTTGTGGGATAACAAAAATGTTCTAGAATTGGGTGGTGGGGATGACTGCCCAATTCTGTCAATACACTACATGTCACTGAACTGCACACTTCAAACTTGTGACTTTTACAGTACGTGAAATATAGCTCAATAAAAGCAATATAGTCATTTAAAAAGCAATTAAAAATACATTCTTAATGGGGCGCCTGGGTGGCTTAGTCGGTTAAGCGTCCGACTTTCGCTTAGGTCATGATCTCATGGTTCGTGGGTTCGAGCCCTGCGTCGGGCTCTGTGCTGATTGCCAGCTCAGAGCCTGGAGCCTGTTTCAGAGTCTGTATCTCCCTCTCTCTCTGACCCTCCCCTGCTCACGCTGTCTCTCTCTGTCTCTCTCCTAGAAATAAATAAAATAAAAAAAAAAAATACATTCTTAAAAAGTAAAGTGAAATTTAAACTTTTGAAGCTGTTCTGGTGGAAAGAAGGCATATAGCCCACTTATTCTTTTTTTTTTTTTAATTTTTTAAAGTTTATTTTTGAGAGACAGAGATCGTATGAGTGTGGAAGGGGCAGAGTGAGAGAGAGAGAGAGAGAGAGAGAGAGAGGGAGAATCCTAAGCAGGCTCCACACCACCAGCACAGAACCTGATGTGGGGCTTGAACCCACGAAACCTGTGAGATCACGACCTGAGCCGAAACCAAGAGTTGGATGCCTAACTGACTGAGCCATCCAGGCGACCCTAGTCCACTATTCTTGGTGTCATACCCAACCCCTCGCTCTATCGTGGTGGCCGTGGGGGAGCCTCCACAGACCTGAGGTCCCACACATGGCTAACCAAGCCCACATTCATGCCTAGTCTCCCATCACCTCAAGAAAAGCCATAGCAGACTGGGGCACCTGGGTGGCTCAGTCGGTTAAACGTCCGATTTCGGCTCAGGTCATGATCTCACGGTTCGTGGGTTTGAGCCCCACGTCAGGCTCTGTGCTGACAGCTAGTTCAGAGCCTGGAGCCTGCTTCGGATTCTGTGTCTCCTTCTCTCTCTGCCCCTCCCCCGCTCACGCTCTGTCTCACTCTGTCTCTCAAAAATAAATAAATGTAAAAAAAAAAAAAAGTTTTTTTTTTTAAAAGAAAAGCCACAGCAGAGGGGCCGCATACAACGACAGAGTGGGCACAGCAGGTGAACGAACGAACAAGGATCCAATCCCCTCCAAGGACATATAACCAAACAATCATTACAGGAAAGGCCAAGAGAGTGTGGGGTTCAGTGATGAATTTGCTAGTTATATACACAGAAAGGAGCTAGAAAACAAATACAGCTTTATAAATGTAGGATCCCAAGTGGAAGAACTTAAACACTTCTTCCTCAGTTTTTACCTCTATTAGGGGAAAAAAAGGCCATCTGGGTAAACTCAATAAGCAATTTATATTGAGATAGAAAGCAATCACAAGGGGTGCCTGGGTGGATCAGTCGGTTAAGCTTCCAACTTCAGCTCAGATCATGATTTCACAGTACACGGTTCGAGCCCTGAATCAGGCTCTCTGCTGACAGCTCAGAGCTGGAGCCTGCTTTGGATTCTGGGTCTCCCTCTCTGCCCCTCCTCCACTCACGCTTGCTCTCTCTCCTCTCTTTCTCTCTCAAAAATAAACAAACATTAAAAAAAAAAGAAAGCAATCATGAAAGAAATGAGACTCTCACATACTTCCTACAAATAGAAATACTAACTAGCAAGGACAATACTGTGCCCCTCCCCCACGCCACCTTGGCATTTTTCCTCCAAGCTGAATCCTCACAGCATCTATATAGACACTGAAATGTTTCGTGAGTGTCTATATATCTTGTACTACAAGGAACTGAAAACCTGGCAGTAATGCCCCAAATGACTGAACTAGCAAACTGGATGATGGTGACATTATTTCATGCCATCAAAATGCATCTGACCGCTGGACACTTAAAAATTTATTAAAAGGGTAGATCTCATGTTACGTGTTTTTCCTCCGCAGTAGAGAAAAATGATTGATGTAAAGACTAAATGAAAATAACTAACTGAAGGGAAAAAACAATGCATTTGACTAACTCCCACTCCCACCCCACCCCCCACCATGTTCAAAAGTAGGTTTCCTCACCGAGGCACAGCTTTCAGGCACAGGTTTGGCAAAGAGGAGCTCCAACAGGGCAACCACAAAGTAGGTCACCCCCAGCCGCTGGAGCACACCAGGGATCCGCACCTTATCCCAAGACACTGCAGAGGCACAAGTTAGGTCAAGCGTTAGCCAGACTCCTCTTCCCGTCCAAGGCAACGTCACGTTTATCTAAGGGGAACACACACCTCTACTGCACTTAAGGACACTCTGAAGTCTTGGAGATGGAAATACATATGGGATTTGGCGCAAACGCACGGCTGGGACACGGGGATAAGGACACGTGTGTTCCTTGGGTGTGGGACCAAGCGAGGACTACCTGGGTCCTGAGGGTCCTCCCCTGGCCCTGTGTCACACCGGGTATGGATTCAATCAGCCCTCGCATCCACCAGCAACTTGCAGACGAGCAGAGGCCACCAACAGATTCTCCCTGTCCTACAGGCTACGTGACGACCTCACGGGAAGTGTGACCACGGAAAGAACCCTACAATGGATCCTCCTGGGAGCAGTGGCCCACTTTTCGGAGATCCACTGAATCAACTGTCATGTGACACCTTTCCCTATGACCCCAAATGGAAGCGACCTCTACTTCATCCTCATGTGCTTCCGGTCTGAAGGGACCACCTGACTCTTGTCCAGGTAACTGTTCTGTTTTGCCAACGACACTGTAAGCCCCTTGAATACAGCAACCACCACTTTCCCCGACTCTGACGCTGGTGCCAAGCACAGGGTGTGCGTCCTTCCCTCAGCCTTCCCGTGTTGCTCACACTGCTAAACAACAACAAAGAGGGGTGCCTGGGTGGCTTAGTCGGTTAAGCTTCCTACTTTCGCTTAGGTCATGATCTCGCGGTTCGTGGGTTCGAGCCCCGCGTCGGGCTCTGTGCTGACTGCCAGCTCAGAGCCTGGAGTCTCTTTCGGTCTGTGACTCCCTCTCTCTCTGACCCTCCCCTGCTCATGCTGTCTCTCTCTCTCTCTCCTAGAAATAAATAAAACATAAAAAAATAAAAAAATAAAAAAAATAAACAACAACAAAGAGATTCCTTCCCAGCAGCCCAGCGGGCACACAGGTGACGACCACGGTGGAGTCTTGAACTACCACACAACAGCCTTCTTATGAAAGCTGATGAATCCAAAGAGGCAGGAGGGCAGGGTCTAAGAACCAGGTGACCGGACCTGGTTCTATTCTGTCCCTGCACTTACAAGATCCACTGAAAGCCCCTCAATCTCTCTGAGACTCAGAGTCTTCCTTTGGATAGACTCTGAAGGATTTGAGTGGTCTTGGAAGCCCCTCTCAGGTCTGAAGTCCCAAGATGATAATAATAATAATAATAATGCTCAAAGTTATACAATCATGCTTACACTTTTCTAATAACTGTTCTGCAGGCACCTGAGGTGAAGGAATTATATTTCTTTAAATTATGATATGTAGTTTTCCGATTTCGACCTGAATATATACAAACAGAGGGGGAAAACACTTACACGGACCAAGGCAGTAATTGGGGTTCACAATGAACACTCCTATACAGATTAACAAGAAACTCCTCCATGCAATTTTCCCCAGCAATTTGAATTTTGAACATCCTCGCTGCAGTATGGAAGTCATTGACAGGAAAATCGAAGATCCCATAATAAATACAAACCTAAAAAAAAAGACAGCTATTAAAAGGTGGCCATTTCTAGGGTGGTTTTATTTTTTTGTCCTTATATCATAACTATTTTATAATCTACTACATAAAAGAAGCAACACCTGATTTTCTAAAGCAGCTAACTGTTGAAGTAACACTGGAGGAGGAATCAGAAGGTAACCTTGTTGGCCTATAAGGTTTGTGCACCTTCAAGTCCTATTCTGGAAGGACAATTTCTTCAGGGCTGAGTGCAGTTTCCGAGGAAGAGACTCCCATTTAGTTGTCAAAGATAGACAATAATGAAGAAGACGCTATAATCCACACACCCCGACATTCACTAGCACACCCCCAAAGTCCTTGAGAAACAATGCATTTCAATTATTTCTAAGTTCGCTCTTTTGCTTGAAAATAAAAAGGAAGCTTTATTTTTTTCTAATTTTTTTCTGAGCTACCCACCTCTTTTCCTTCCTTTTACTATACTAGTCCTTGAAAAAAAAAAAAAGCCAGAATAGCAATCTTTCTATTGGGTGTGGGGTTAACAGAAGATGAGAGTTTGCTCTCTTGGTGTCCTGTCCCCTGGCTTCCTTTCTTGGGATCACCCAATTGGATAAAACTGTCTAGTAACAGGAATTGAAACACATTTCCTGTAGGGGACCTTGTCAAGAATATACATAAATAACTACCCAGTCTTCAGGCATACAAAACTTCCTCCTACCCAAACCCACCTCAAAAAAGAACCCTAACTCCCCCGAGACCAAAAGATCTAAACCAATAGCCAGTACTACCTCCTAAAGATGGAACAATACTCTGGTTTCTCTTCAGATCGAATAAATCTTTTGCCTTTTACTAAAGATGGAACAAAGTCGCTCCAAGAGTCACAAGCAAAGACACAAATTCCACCATTGTATAGAATGTCAGGGTCCCTTAACAAGGTGAAAAAACCACAGATGATCAAGATGCAGTGGGTCGCTTCAGTATTATTTTACATTTTAATTTATTACTATTATTACCCTGTTACATACCTTATCAGAATTTCCTGAGGCCAATACACTACATTTGTTTCAGAAACTATGATTTTTATACTTATTTTCAGGATTATTGGGATTTAACTACATTTTCAGAATTTATGATTCACTACAAGATCCCAGGATCTTGTATACCATGTCTACACTAACAAAATGTTCCCTTTGAAATCACTCATCTTTTATAAGCAGGTCTTGGGCAAGCCCTATGCCGAGTATAGGAATGATCTAGTAACACAACTTTCAGAAGGACCTTATGAGGGCAGACACCTGTGAGTAACATGGGCCTGTGGCCCAGAACTCGAGGCTGGTCTCAGAGAAACGCTCCAGCATCAGCTGAAAAAAACAAAAACGTGGATGACTGGACTCACCATGGGAATACGAGGTCAGCCACCGTCAGCCCTGGAGAAAAACACAAGCACAAGAGTAAGGTAAAGGACTGTAGAATATAAGTACATCCTACATCTAGATTGGCACCATTATATACTGATATATATGGAAAGTAAGCTCACATAAAGGGTTCACAGGAAAACGCTATGAAGTAACAGGCACAGAAACTCCCTGGTGACTCTGCAACAGGTCACTAGGCCTGGGACACTTCCTAAGAACATAACTGGGTATGGGAGAGCCAAAGTAGCAGTGTTTGGACAAGTCTGTCACCTTCAAGCAGTGTTACTCAAAATCCATTCTTAAACCAGCAACTGAGCCAAAATCACAGCCATTACTCAGCACCACGCAGACCAACCTGAGTTCAATGGCACCCCTGAGGAGAGCCGTGAGAATTAGAAGACAGAGCTCCCGTGTGGCTGGAATAAAAGGCATATCCGGGGCTCCTGGGTGGCTCAGTCGGTTAAGCGTCTGACTTCAGCTCAGGTCATGATCTCATGGTTTGTGGGTTCAAGCCCCGTGTTGGGCTCTGTGCTGACAGCTCAGAGCCTGGAGCCTGCTTCAGATTTTGTCTCCCTCTCTCTCTGCCTCTCTCCCGCTTGTGCTATCTCTCCTACCCCCCCCCCCCCGCCCAAGTAACCATTAAAAAACATTTTTTAAGAATTTTTTTTAAAGGCATATCTACAATATGACAAAAATCATTTACAACTAAACTCTTCACAGCATCTTCAGAGGCCTGAGGTCCTGCAGCAGAGCCTTGGGCATCTGCGTGTTGCCGCAGAGAAGCACTGCAGGGCCGCAGCACTTACGCAAGAGCAGAACAAAAGGGTTACTAGAATCATCTAAAGGGCAGGAACTCAGCGCTCCAAGGAAGCTGGTGGGGCCGCATCTCTGAGCTCCCGAGGGGCTGCCGAGAGGTTCTCCTGCCCACACTTGTCTGAGGGGTTCTACACAAGCTGTGCTCCCTAAGGGAATACCTTACCATTCCAACTTGAGTGTTTGAAGTACCAGTATCTTCCTCCTCCATAATTCACGAAGACCATGAGGATGAGAGCTATCCTGTAAAGCAGCAAAGGGCACACTTTCAGGGCTTACACACATGACAAGGAATGGCCCGACTGTAAGAGATACACTTCTACTCATGAGGGGTAGTCACAACACAGAAGACACTTACAGAGCAGGAAACGATTATTTCTAATCATTGCAGTTAAGGCCCTACACAAAGCCCTTCTGTTGACACATTTCCACATGACTTTTTTTTTTAACTTCAGAGAGACAGAGAGCATGAGTGGGGGAGGAGCAGAAAGACGAAGAGACTGCACTGCCAGCACAGAGCCAGACATGGGGCTTCATTTAATCAACCGTGAAATCATGACCTGAGCCAAAATCAAGAGTCAGACGCTTAACCGACTGAGCCACTCCAATATGATTTCTTAAGAGAAAGTTACATTGATGCTGAACTGTGTAACTTGAAAACGAAGCAAACATTTCCCATCACTCAGTTTCGCACTAATTACTCAGATGCCTCAGGCTAAAGAACTGTAGTAGGAGGCATACAGTTGTCGGAGCAGAGGGCTCAAATCAGGGGCCCTCCTGTCTCATGAGGGCACGACTCTCATCAGTTACCTCAATGTGCTTCTCTGTAAGAGAGAAAACACACCTGCTGCTGGGACTACTGAGGAGAATAATGTATATCCTGGTGCCTAACCAGTGCCTGGCATATTCTAGGCACTTAATAAATGCCAGTCTACCTGCGAACATCTCATTTCCGAAAGTGGCAAAATAGAATTAACAAAAGAAAGAGGGGGTGGTTGGGTGGCTCAGTTGGTTGGGCATCCGACTCTTGGTTTCAGCTCAGGTCATGATCTCACTACTTCGTGGGTGTGAGCCTCGAGTCAGGCTCTGTGCTGGCAGTGCAGAGCCTGCTTGGGATTCTCTCTCCCCCACTCTCTCTGCCCCTTCCACTCGTGCTGTCTCTGTCTCTCTCAAAAATAAACTTTTTTTAAAAAAAAGGAATATGATAAAATAGACTCCGAATATGTGACTGTTCAATGCTAATTCTGCAGGATACTGAAGAATGAAGACTTCAGTGTGTCAATGAGGTTACTGCCTGGAATCAAATCCTGGCTGTCCCACTGTCCCCAGGTGACCTTGGCCAAATCACCTAACTCTGCGGCCTGATCTCTTCACCAGTAGAACTGGCATATTAAAAGTTTATACTTAATTGGGCTGTGAAGAGATTGAATAAATTATGACAAGGAAGAACAGTGCCTGGCACAGGGTAAGAATTCAAAAAATCGTAGCAATGTTCATTACTGTCATTATTGCCTGGCTTCAAATACACACCCCAGGAGCACTCAGCATCTGGGGAGGCTGGGAAGGCTGGGACAGAATATAAGGTTATCACTGGAGTTTAAAAGCCCACCGTGGCATTAAAAAAAAAATTTAAAGGGGTGCCTGGGTGGCTAAGTCGGTTAAGCGTCCGACTTCAGCTCAGGTCATGATCTCACAGTTCGTGGGTTTGAGCCCCGCGTCGGACTCTGTGCTGACAGCTCAGAGCCTGAAGCCTGTTTCAGATTCTGTGTCTCCCTCTCTCTCTGACCCTCCCCTGCTCACACTCTCTCTCTCTCTCTCAGAAATAAATAAAACAGGGGCGCCTGGGCGGCTTAGTCGGTTGGGCGTCCGACTTTCGCTTAGGTCATGATCTCGCGGTTCGTGGGTTCGAGCCTCGCGTCGGGCTCTGTGCTGACTGCCAGCTCAGAGCCTGGAGCCTGCTTCAGATTCTGTGTCTCCCTCTCTCTCTGACCCTCCCCTGCTCACACTGTCTCTCTCTCTCCTAGAAATAAATAAAAAGATTAAAAAAAAAAGAAAGAAAGAAAGAAAGAAAACATTAAATAAATAAATAAATAAATGCCCTCTGTGGGCAGAAATGGAAGGCCTAATACTTAGATAATTTATTTTTAGCTATTAGTTTTTTTTTTAAGGTTTTACTTTTATTCCAGTTATCATACAGTGTAATATTAGTTTCAGGAGTACGATACAGTGATTCAACACTTCCATACAACACCCGGTGCTCATCACAAGTGCACTCCTCAATCCCCATCACCTACTTCACCCGTCCCGCCCCCCTCCTCCCCTCTGGTAACCATTAGTTTGTTCTCTATAGTTAAGAGTATGTTTGTCTCGCTTGCTCTTTTTTTTTAAATCCCTTTGCTCATTAGTATTGCTTCTTAAATTCCACATATGGGTGAAATCATATGGGATTTGTGTTTCTCTGAAGGGCTTATTTCACTTAACATCATACTCTCTAGCCCCATCCAGGTCATTGCAAATGGCTCTGTATACAGTTTTACACTTTATTTTCAGAGCTGGGTCCTGGCCCTCACTCTTCTACCTGAGCTCTGAAATAAAAACAACTTGTAGGACTCTGTGGATTTGCTACCAAAAGGGCCCCGTATTCAAGCTGTTCTGCTAACGGTGGGGAAAAGCCAGGACAGACACCAGTGAGGGCTGGCACTTCAGTTCCAGACAGGCACAGCCTCCCATCTGTCAAGCTGCTGACGGGACATGCGGGTGGGGATGGTCGTGGAGGCCCTGCGTACAGCTGCCTGCCCACAGGTGAATGACCTTAACTCAGCAGGACCTACATACCAGTGGAAACCGGTTCTGGCCGTACCCCTCGACTCCTCTCTAGCAACTTACATTTGCTATCATGACAGTTTTCGAGAAGGGAGAGGCCACTGATTTATTTTTACAGCAAGAAGTCTTGCCCACCCTAAAGGGAGAGGATATGTAAAATACCTTAAGTCAGACGTGTGTTTATGTATAAACATGTGATCCTGGGATACCTGTGCCCACCATGTCCCAAGGGAGCCCCACGTACCCCCTGAATGTGTCTACACAGTGGAGGCGCGGAGGCGAGGTGGGCGGACGCCATGCTTCTGGTTGAGTTTCTCCACCGAGCGAGTCTGCCCTGCTTGGAGACCCTAGCTCCTTCAGAAAAACGGGGAGAGAAACATGCCAGTTCATAATGCTAGCGAGTAAATGTCAATGACCTGTTTTTCAGGGAAGAAATTAACAGAATGGAGAGCTAAAACTCATCCTGAACAATCCTTTAATTTGCTTTTGTAGAGGTCCCACCCAGAGGCTTAGTTTTTCACATTATTTGGTTTCTGTGCCATCTGCTAAGCCTGCAGCTCCCGTGCTGATCGATGACCACGAGGTACCTGTCCATGAGTGCATCTGGCACCAGGCTACAAGTATGTCCACAAATGGGCAAGAGAATGTCCATAATGGATTTAACACAAATAGTAAGTTCAAACAGCACAGGAGGCCGGTGATTTGTAGATTTCACATGGATGTGGACATCCATTATGCCTTTTGTTTTAATCTTGACACCCTCTCCCTAACTGGATTGGTTCAACGGCGCTGCCTGCAGAGTGAAAAAATGTCTCCATGCCTTGCATGCCGACTCCCTAGGAAAGAGAAGAGGATCCTGCCCTTCTCAGAAGTCGGAGAGAAGGCTGCTTGCTCTTTATTAAGGATACAGAACACAGGGCCTGGCCTTCTACAATATAAGTAACATTAATTAAACCAGACAATAGGTATTACTAAATAGAGAATTATAAATTCCAAATCTAGAAAACGACCCAAACCACACATGATGCATTCTAATTAACTCACAGAATTGATTAGGCGATCAGTTTCTCGTGAATTTATTGCTTTAGAAATCCAATTATGAAAGTCATCCAAACTGTAAATAAATAAAAAGCTCAGTTAATTTATTTCCTTTGGCAGAATTTTCAAAATGATTGGATAGTACAGTAAAATAAAATTAATTTGAAGTTCATATTCTATACAAGTCAAAGAATTAAATAAACATTTTAGGGGCTCCTGGGTGGCTCAGTTGGTTAAGCGGCCGACTTCAGCTCAGGTCATGATCTCACAGTTCGTGAGTTTGAGCTCCCGTCAGGCTCTGTGCTGACAGCTCAGGGCCTGGAGCCTGCTTCAGATTCTGTGTCTCCTTCTCTCTCTGCTCTTCCCCTGCTAACGCTTTGTCTCTCTGTCTCTCAAAAATAAATAAACTTTAAGAAAATAATATTAAAAAAATTTTTAAATAAATATTCTAAAGTATCATTCTGGGAGGTCAATCTTACTTCATCCAGACTCCCACCCCTACCCCGTTTCCTGCCTAAGATTGATTATTTTAAAGAATCTCAGACATGGTATCATTTTATCATTTTAGTATGGATCTTTAACAAATTAAAGACCCTTTTTTAAAAAAACCAGTACTACAGGGGAACCTGGGTGGCTCAGTTGGTTAGGCGTCTGACTTCAGCTTAGGTCATGATCTCACAGTCTGTGGGTTCTAGTCCCACATCGGACTCTGTGCTGACAGCTCAGAGCCTGGAGCCTGCTTCAAATTCTATGTCTCCCTCTCTCTCTGCCCCTCCCCCGCTCACTCTCTGTCTCTGTCTCTCAAAGTAAAATAAAGACATAAAAAAAACCCCAAAAAATAGTACTACAGTTCCATTATTACATTTTAAAATATTATCAATAATTCCTAATATCACCAAATAGCCAGTTCAATGTCTGTCTCATAAGTTTTTTTCTCCAGTTTATTTGCTCAAATCAGTATCTAAACATGAACCACACATTTAGTGCACGTATTATTTCTTCTCATTTCTCCCTACAACTTACTCTTCTTTCTACCTCATTCAACACTGGTAACATCAAAACCACATGAAAAACATTAAAACAGAGACATCTAAGGAAGGGTGAAAGGAGAACTTAAGATATTTAACAGTTTGAATTTTTTAAATGCTCTTAATTTTCTTTTTTTTTTAACTTTTTGTTTTAATGTTTTATTTTTGAGACAGATAGAGACAGAGCATGAGAGGGGGAGGGGTGGAGAGACAGGGAAACCCAGAATCCGCAGCAGGCTCTAGGCTCTGAGCTGTCAGCACAGAGCCTGATGCGGGGCTCAAACCCACGAACTGTGAGATCATGACCTGAGCCGAACTCAGGGGCTTAACCGACTGAGCCACCCAGGTACCCCAAAAATGTCCTTAATTTTCCTGTACATCCTTGTCTTCCCAATGAAAGGCGAGAGACTCTGTATTCTTACTACTGCCTCAGTCTTCTGGTTCAGACAGACCTAAGCACCCTGGGACTCCCATGGGCACGCTGCAAAGTCATAAGCAAGGGACAAGGGACTCTTGCGTGTCAGCAGAGCATTCTGTCTACAAGGCTGCAGAGGCAGGAACATATGTGATTCCAATTCCACAGTGGAGTGAGGTGTGATTTCTCCTCCATGCTAGAGCTCAAGATCAGCAACCAGTTACTTTAGAAAGTGAAGTCACAGACCCATTCATATTGAAAGCACCAAATAAATACATTGTAATAAACTGGAACAGTATCTGCATCTTATCTTATCAAAAGACTGACATGGGGCGCCTGGGTGGCTTAGTCGGTTAAGTGTCCGACTTTCGCTTAGGTCATGATCTCGCGGTTTGTGGGTTCGAGCCCCGCGTCAGGCTCTGCGCTGACTGCCGGCTCAGAGCCTGGAGCCTGTTTCAATCTGTGACTCCCCCTCTCTCTGACACTCCCCTGCTCATGCTGTCTCTCTCTCTCTCTCCTAGAAATAAATAAAACATTAAAAAAAAAAAAAAAAAAGACTGACAAGGCAATACCTTAATTCAAAGAAATAAAGCCCCTCTCCTGAAAGTACCCAAAAAGCAGTTAAGTGAAAAATAGGCTTCTGAGCAAGAAGCAGTCCTTTTACCCTTCCAGACCCTGGTATTTCTGGGATGCCCAAAGGGAAGAGGGCCAGACTGCACAGACTCCCCAAAGCGCCTGGGTTTCCCTGAGCTGGCCGACTTACACTAGGCTTTCTCTGTTCTAGTTTGGATATGGCTTACCCATAAAATCTTGTGATCCTTCAGTTTGTGAGTTCGAGTCCCACGTTGGGCTCTGTGCTGACAGCTCAGAGCCTGGAGCTTGCTTCAGATTCTGTGTCTCCCTCTTTCTCTCTGCCCCTCCCTCCCTCACGCTGTCTCTCTCTCTCTCTCTCAAAAATGAGTAAGTGTTAAAAAATTTTAAAACAAAATCTTGTGACCTTCTTGAGGCCATAATCGGTGGAGTATTCAATCAATCTTATTTCTTTAAAAACATGAAAGAACTTTCCTTTGAAAGGTGATCCTGGATCTATTTTTAATATTTATTTTTGAGAGAGAGAGAAAGACAGAGCATGAGGAGGGGACAGGCAGACAGGGGAAACACAGTCTGAAGTAGGTTCCAGGCTCCGAGCTGTCAGCACAGAGCCTGACACAGGGCTCAAATTCACGAACCACAAGATCATGACCTGAGCTGAAGTTGGTTGGATGCTAAACCGACTGAGCCACCCAGGTGCCCAGGACTGGATCTATTTTGCTTTCTTTCCTTTTTATTTTTCCAGTCTACTAATTCACTTTCACTGGACTCACCATTAACCAGGCAGATGGAGGAGAAGAAATCCCCTCGCCAAGCTGCCTCCCCGTCCTAAGTGGGGCAAAGCAAGTCCATGCTGAGGTGTGGAGGTCCAGCACCCCGTCTCTATCTCTGTGCCAGATGCCCAGCTGGCAGGAGCCGGGATGCGGGACCTCAGGGCGGCGGAGGCTCAGAGCCGGAGAGGGGACAAAGAACACAAGGGGGCAGCCGCATCCTGAAATCAGCCCAGGCCTCTCCCGCTCACTACAGAAGCAGGCTGTGAGATTCTTTCTGGAAATAATGACTTCTCAAGCATCTTCTTCTGTTTTTTTCAGCCATTTGGGAGGACTAAAGTTATCATTTCCCGGAAGTCAGTGACCATCTCTTACTGTACATTGATTGGTCCCTGATACCCAGGACTGGACTGGGCATGGAGGACACAATAAGCATTCATTTAATCAAAGAAAAACAGTCACTTAAAGGGTCAAACTATCCTGAATATCCTTTTTCTATACTCTACTCTCCCCATATGTGCCCTCCCCTAACATCTGCTTACCTCATTAAGAACCTGAGAAAGGAGACTGCAATGACGATCGCCACACCAACAAGAAAAGCGACACACACAGCTGGAAAAATCAAAGAAAACATGGTATCACCAAAGTGTTATCACAAGCATCGAAATTGTCATGTCACTGTATTTCATCTGTAAGTGAAAAATGCAAACAAAAATGGAAACAAGTAAGAGGAAAAGCCTATATTCTTATGCTAACTTTCCTATATTCCTATAAACGACAGAGAACATTCATTGTTAGGGGAGTGCTAATTTTCATTGTGAAAAATACCAAACATCTACAAAAGAACAGAGATTTGTATAATAAGCCCACACATACGCTTCACCTAGATTCTAGTATTATGAAGATATTGTCACTCTCGCTTCATCTATTGCTACTCTCCCTCTACTTTTATTTAAGTTTATTTATTTACTTTGAGAGAGAGCATGAGTAGGGGAGGGGCAAAGAGATGGGGAGAGCAGGCGCTGCACTGTCAGCTCAGAGCCCGATGGAGGGTTGATCCCACGAATGGTGAGATCATGACCTGAGCCGCAATCAAGAGTCAGACACTTAACTGACTGAGCCACCCAGAGGCACCCCTTGCTAATAGTACTTTTAAGCAAATCCCAGACATCATGTCATTTCCTCCTTCCATCTTCCGTATGTATCTCTAAAGCTCAGACCTCATAAAAGACCTGTCAGCATGATGCAACTGAGGCTTCTATAGTAATCTACCAAGAAGGCATACCCTCTACCTAGTCCTGACAAAACAAGTTGCACTTTGCAAGCAAATGCAAATAACAAAATAACTGGCCAGTCCTCTTTCAAAGTGTCAAGGTCATGAAAGAAAAAAAAAAAAAAGGCTGCAGGCTGCAGAGATCTGACAAATAAATGGGCTCTCTCAAAAATAAATATTAATAATAGATCCAGGCCTGACAGATCACCTTTCAGAGACCGCATCTGGACAAAAAGGCGGCCTTAGAAGGGACAGCTGGAGAAGTCTAAAAGCCTACATACATCAGTTAATAGCACTATACCAATGTTAAAGTCCTTGTTTCAATCAGTACAGATGGGATAATTGTACTGTGATTACATAGTTTAGGGAGAAAGTTATATGGGAACTCCTTTTTGCAACGTTTCTTTTAAATTGAAAATTATTTCAAAATTAAAAGTTTCTTAAAAATGGACCTTTTGTTATATCATCATAATGTCATTAACAATTCTCTGGCTAACACTGCACCCATATTCCAATTTCTCTAGTTATCTCAAAAATGTTTTTGTCTCTCTCTCCTAGAAATAAATTAAAAAAATATTTAAAAAAAAAAAAAGGGGAGGCGCCTGGGTGGCTTGGTCGGTTAAGCATCCGACTTTCGCTTAGGTCATGATCTCGCGGTTCGTGGGTTCAAGCCCCGCGTCGGGCTCTGTGCTGACTGCCAGCTCAGAGCCTGGAGCCTATTTCAGAGTCTGTGTCTCCCTCTCTCTCTAACCCTCCCCTGCTCGCGCTGTCTTTCTCTCTCTCTCTCTCCTAGAAATAAATAAAAAAATATTTAAAAAAAAAAAGTTTTTTGTAGTTAGTGTGTTCAGATCAGGATCCAAACAAGGTTCCCATTTTGTATGTGGCTGTTATGGCTCGTTAGTTGCATTTAGTCATAAGCAGCCATTGAGTTGCTTGAAATAAGTCGTCTATTAGCACGTCTCCTGTTCTAGATCTGTCAGTATGTTTCCTCATGGTGTCACTGGATTTGTTCTTCTATCCTCCAAATGTTCTGTAAAGGGGAAATTAACTGTGAAACAGGCTTTACTAAAAGAAGTTCAACTTTTCTGGGCAAGAATGTCCAGTGTCTTTCCCACTGCACCACATCAGGAGCACCAGCCATGACTGCCCATTTGCCCAATGTGCGTGGTCAGCTGCGGGAAGTCTAAAGTGCCCCTCTCCTATGATGCTTTCATCCACTCATGACTTCCGCCTACATCAATTCCTTCATTAAGGACTACGATATATTCTGCCATTCTGTCACATGTATTAGCTGGAATTATTCCCTAAAGAATTTACCTTCATCATCTTGGACTACGTAGTTATCCTAAAATACAATTAAAACAGGAAAGGAATGGGATGCTTTGGTGGCTCAGTTGGTTGAGCATCTGACTTGATTTTGGCTTGGGTTCCAGGCTCGTGGGATTGAGCCACACATTGGGCTCTGTGCTGAGCGTGAAGCCTACTTATGATTCTTTCTCTCTCTCCCTCTGGCCCTTTTTCCCCTGCTCGTGCTCTCTCTAAAATAAAAATAACACAACTTTTGGAGTGCCTGGGTGGCTCAGTTGATTAAGCGTCCGACTTCAGCTCAGGTCATGATCTCACTGTTCATGGGTTCGAGCCCCACGTTGGGCTCTGTGCTGACTGCCAGCTCAGAGCCTGGAGACTGTTTCAGATTCTGTGTCTCCCTCTCTCTCTGACCCTCCCTGATCATGCTGTCTCTCTCCTGCACTCAGAAATAAAGTTAAAAAAAAAAACATAAAAAAATTTTTTAAAAAAATAAATAAAAATAACACAAAAACAAAACAAAAAATGGAAAAGGCAGGATAAATGCTTAGATCTTTCCTTTCAATTGACACTTTTAAGTCACTCCAGTTAACAGGAGATGGTTCTTGTTATCTCCAAAGGCAACCAAAGTATTGGTTTTGTTTAGGGAAGAGGCTTTGTTTTTGGCTTTGTTTTTAATTTACTTCTTTATTTTGAGAGAGAAAGAGAGAGAGGGAGAGGGAGAGAGAATCTTAAGCAGGCTCCATGCTGTCAGTGCACAGCCCAACTCATGCCTCAATCTCCGAAACCATCAGATCATGATCTGCGCTGGAACCAAGAGTAGGATACTTAACCGACTGAGCCCCCAGGTGCCCTGGGCTTTGTTCTTTTTACTTTCATAACGAACTCCTTGGTTTTTGCATATACAATGTGTTTCCATCAATGACATTCCTAACAATTTTTAATGCTGTCCCATGTTAGCCCTTTCATTCTTTTTTTTTCTTTTTTTTTGGTTCTTAACATTCTTTTGACCTGACCCTACAGTCTTCAAGGATTTCCAGTTTGTTCCCATTGCATTAACTTTGGCTTATTTATGCTTCATAATTAAACTAAATAACATCTAGCAGAATATGCTGGTCATACAATTTTCTTATATATCACATAATTTTCTTAGTATACACTAATGACACAATAAATACACCATAACTAAATAAGACAGATAACCTATTATTCAGGTTTTAAAATACACAAAGTGTCACAAACAGTACTCAAAAACTAAAATCTTTGAAATACAAATTTTAAAAAATTAACAAAGAGCATATACGTACGAAGGTTACTGTCAATTGGATTCTTATTGACAATTAGGTCACAAGCAACTTCACTGACTCCATTATGGGCGTGCTTTACCAAGAGTGAATAGTTTCCAAATTCTCCAAATTTATATTCCAACCTATAAAGATTTGGCAAAATTGAGACATGGTTAGATTAGGAAATAAGGAGTTGGATTATGGTAACGTCACCAAGGCAGAGTGATAGGCATTTCTGAGTGCAGACCAGGAAAGGTATTTTATTTTTTATTTTATTTTTTTTAAAATGTTTTATTTATTTCTAGGAGAGAGAGAGAGACAGCTTGAGCAGGGGAGGGTCAGACAGAAAGGGAGTCACAGACTGAAAAAGGCTCCAGGCTCTGAGCTGGCAGTCAGCACAGAGCCCGACGCGGGGCTCGAACCCACGAACCGCGAGATCATGACCTAAGCGAAAGTTGGACGCTTAACCAACTAAGCCACCCAGGCGCCCCGAGATATTTTAAAAATACTTTATTTTGAAAGAAGGAAAAGCTGAAAACCAAATAGGGAGGAAAAAATAGAAAATGCAGGTGTCGGCAGGTCACATCAAAGCAGGTACGAACCTACAAACTTCCTTGTCTTCCATGGTGTCATTAAGTTGCAGGATAGATCCATGCTGGGTGCTCACAGCAACCGCTGCAGTGCTGGGCTTCCCGGGTCTTCCACTCCAGGAAACATTTACCAGAACCTGGAACGAGCACTGTGAAGCAGAGGCATAAGCGACTGTCAGAGGTGTTTGAAAGTCCACTGGCCGCTGGAGCACATGAACACCCACCCACCCAGAATCCTGGGGTGACTTTTCCTTCATACTTACAATGTTTTTTTAAGTTTATTTATTTTCGAGACATACAGCGACAGAGCAAGTGGGGGAGGACCAGAGAGAGAGGGAGACAGAGAATCCCAAGCAGGCTCCATGCTGTCAGCACTGAGCCGGATGTGGGGCTCAAGCTCACCAAACCGAGAGGTCATGACCTGAGCTGAAACCAAGAGTTGGATGCTTTAAGTGACTGAGCCACCCGGATGCCCCATTTTCCTTCATACTTATAAAAAACCTTTTGAATTCCAAAAAGTTAGATAAAATTTGCCTATAGAACTATGTGTTATCATACACACTTTATTCATTAGGTAAATTTTTCACATAAATAACAAATACAGCATATATTGCCTTGCATTCCATTGTGGTACATATTATTTAATGACTAAATTTCCACCATTCTACCTAATGTGCATATTTAAAACTTTTAATGGTTGTATTAAATACTAAAAATGTATTTAGGTTGCTTTCAAAGCTTTTTTTTTTTTTAATCTTCTTGTGTGTAATTTATATAAATCATGTTTTGAAAGATAAATATAGAGGCATCTGGGTAACTCACTGGACTAAGCAACCAACTCTTGATTTTGGCTCAGGTCATGATCTCATGGGGTTCATGAGATCAAGCCCCATGTCAGGCTCTGAGCTGACAGCACGAAACTGCTTGGGATTCTCTCTCTCTCTGCCCATACCCTCTCTGCTTGTGCTCTCTCTCTCTCAAAATAAATAAATAAATATTCAAAAAAGATAAACATACAATATATACAACTATATTTATAATTTGTTATACATAATTTATATAACATACTGTTTTCAAAGATCTATACATGATGTTCTTTTTAAAAATTTATTTATTTTGAGAGAGAGTGTGTGCATGGGCGCATGTACATGCAGGTGAGGGGCAGAGAGAATTCCAAGCAAACTCTACACTATCAGCATGGAGCCTGACTCTGGGTTCGATCTTATGAACCATGAGATCATAACTCGTGTGAACATCAGAAGTTGGACACTTAACCGACTGAGCCAACCAGGCATCCCTTCACATGATGTTCTTATCCCTTTAAATTCTTTCCCTACAATAAATTTCTAAAAATGACATTATTGGATAAAAAAAATCATTTTAATGGTTCTTGTTATATGTGCTCAAACAGTACTCAGATAAAAATTGCAATATATTTGCTCCTCATTAGCCTTACCAGGATTCAAAAATCTTTCTTCTTTTTGTTCATGTACTAAATATTTACGACATCACAGCATTAAGATTACATTTTAAATTATTAGATTAAATAATACTTTTTATGTTTCTTATGGTGTGAACCATCTGTTAGACACCAAATCCCCTTGAACATAATCTTAGAAACACATCTTCATATACTTCAATACTGAACTTTTAATTATCTCAAATATTTCCCCTTTCTAGTGCTTTCCTCTTCATCATGTTATATTCTGTTTTTAGTTACAAGTTTTTAATGTCATACAGTCATAGTAATCTGACTTATTTCTATTACTTCATTAGTTTAGAAATGTATTCTGCCTTTCTTAGTACTGTGGAGGTTATTTTAACTTGAATCCATTTGGAGAATTTGACAAATGGTATACAATGATTCTAGATACCTTCCCCATGGCTTTAGTTACAATATGTTATGTTAAATTCTCTTAGATTTTACTCCTTATATTTACTGTGGTGCACTGGTCTTTGTTTCTCATTTTTGGCTACATAAATGGTTGTGACTCTGTAATACATCTTATCTGGGACAGCTAATCTCCATATTGCCTATTCTTTTGGGCCATCCTTTGATCTTCTTGCTCATTTCCTTTTTCCTATCAATGTGGGAATGGTTTACATAGATTCTATAAAGTAGCCACTGATATATTAACACCAATTGTGTTAAATGTATAATTAATTTGGGAAGTACCACCATTTTTCCTGTTCAGTCTTCGTATCAAAGCATATTGGCTCTCTCTCCATTTAACCTATTATTTTCCCTCTAAAATGTCATCAATGTCTTTATGTATGAATTCTCTTGGTTTCTCAAGAATAAAAATGTCATGATAAATAAATCTTTCAATATTCTAACTTATTCTACTTGATAGAATTTTATTTAAGATTTTTGCATTCACACTGATTAGAAAGTATGACCTACATTTCTCTTCCTCTTTGCCAGATTTTAAGATTATCACCCTATCTATACTGCAGAATAAATCAAATATCAAGTCATCATTTTGGGGGGGTACCTTATATTTAGGTTAGTTTATATAAAGTGAGAATTATTTATTATTTGAAAATGTAGACAAAAGACATATTCTTTTTTTTTAATTTTTTTTTTTAATGTTTTATTTATTTCTGAGAGAGAGATAGCATGAGCAGGGGAGGGTCAGAGAGAGAGGGAGGCACAGAATCTGAAACAGGCTCCAGGCTCTGAGCCAGCTGTCAGCACAGAGCCCGATGCAGGGCTCAAACCCACAAACAGTGAGATCATGACCTGAGCCGAAGTCGGACGCTCAACCAACTGAGCCACCCAGGTGCCCCAAAAAAGACATATTCTTTAGATGGAGAAATTCATTAGAACTTTTCAGCCTTCCATAGTCCTTCCTTCATTCCTTCCTCCTTTTTTTTTTTTTTTTTTTTTGAGAGAGAGAGAGCACAAGCAGAGGAGAGAATGCCAAGCACAGGCTCCATACTCAGCACAGAGCCCAGTATGAGACTCAATCCTACAACCCTGGGATCATGACCTGAGCTGAAATCAAGAGTCGGACATTCAACTGAATGAGCCACCCAGGCACCCCAGAACTTATGTTCTCAATCTCTTGAATCAATCTTCGTATCATATTTTTTGAAGGAAATCAAGTTTTGAATTTCAAATTTATCAGCTTATAAACTGTTCACTGGACAATAATTATCTTAATTACAGTGGTTACACATACCCTAATTTCTGATTTTACTAAGTTCTATTACTCTCTTACATTTATCAATAATCTATCAATTGTGTAACTTTTATTTTAATTTTTTTAACATTTATTTATTTTTAAGAGAAAGAGACAGAGCATGAGGGGGGGTAGAGGCAGAGAGAGAGGGAGACACAGAATCTGAAGCAGGCTCCAGGCTCTGAGCTGTCAGCAGACAGTCAGACGTTTAACCAACTGAGCCACCCAGGCACCCCTACCCCTTACTTTTAGTCAGCTATAATAATTACTCATAGTTAACATTATAATACTAATCTTCCTCCCATTTTTGTTTTCTTTTCACAAGTACACACAGAAAGCACTTGCTGACACATTACAGGGATCTTTAGCTGTCTTGAAGCTATGAAATCTAGTCTACACATTTTTTAATGTTTATGTGTTTTTTAATGTGTATGTCTCTTAAATGTTTCTACTTTAAGGAGAGGAAATTCTCATTTAGCCAAATTACTGATCTCCAGGACATATCTTCAGCTGGTAAGCCCACCATTCCCAGAGATTTATTATCTGGCTTATGAAACGAATTATTATAATTTGCATTCCCTTAAATACCTATTTCTGTATTTGCTTAAAGATTTAAAAATTATCATTAATGTTTCAAATTTAAAACAGGTTATGTCTCGATGTCATTTTCTGGTTGTTTAAACTTTACAGGCTCATAAAGTGTCGTTCCAATTTCCTGACTATAAAGTCTTTTCTGGAATTATGGGACATTTTCTAAACTATGTTTAAATGAAAACTCTACCAACCCTTAACACGTTTTCCTAAAACAGAAATATCTCCACGCTCTTTTAAATAAATTACCAGTTTTTTTTCCCCCCCGAGCTGGTCTCAGGTAGCTAATTCTGTTTTTTGATTCTTTATTCTGTCACCAGGATCCCTGTTTTGTATCAATGGTTTACTGTTTTTATCCTAAAGATGCATTAGTTGCCCTATGGCTAATTCCCGGCAATGCACTCTTTTTTCCCCCTTCACCTTGTTCTGTAAATGTTAGGCCTTTATTGTCTTTTTAGAAGACCTTTGCTCCTTCTCTGAATTATCAGTGATTCTTGTGGCTTTGAAATTCAGCTATTATTGATATTTTTTTTCAAGTTTCTTTTAGGTCTTTCACATAGACTGATAAATCTTTTGTCTTTGCTATTTTGTTTAACACTACAGATTTTCTTTGCTTCATATGACTTTGTAGGGCTCTCAGGGGGTTTAATCAAACAGAGCAGGGATAATCCTTTGCCTCTTCAGCTGGTGCCCATACTGGGGGTTTGGTGGTTTGTTTGTTTTAAAGCTATTTATAGTAAACAGGTCCCTACACAAGACAGTCCCTGAATTACTGTGGTTCGATTTATGGTTTTTCAACTTTATCACAGTATGAGAGCAATATGCATTCAGTAGAAACTGTACTTGGAATTCTGAATTTTCATCTTTTCCTGGGGTGGCACTATGCAGCAGGACCCTCCTTCACGACGAAAGGGAGGGGCAGGGAAGCAAAGCTCAGTCAGCCATGCAACCCCAGGGGTCAGTGACTGGAACGCTGTGGGCTAGTGTAAGCCTTCTGAGCATGTGCTATGAGGTTCAGAAAGGTCCCTGTATTCAATGCATTTTTGTCTTACAGTATTTTCAACTTACCGGTATTGCAATCCATGGAGGAAAATCTGTACACTAAAATTCCTCCTCTGAAGGTGGTACACTGAAGTGCTCAATTTGAAAAATAAACGATTGGGACCTCATCAAGATTAAAAGCTTCTGCACAGCCAAGGAAACAACCCAGAAAACTAATAGGCAACCAACGGAATGGGAAAAGATAGTTGCAAATGACATATCGGATAAAGGGTTAATATCCAGACTCTATAAGGAACTCACCAAACTCCACACCCGAAAAACAAACAACCCAGTGAAGAAATGGGCAGAAGATATGAACAGACACTTCTCCAAAGAGGATATCCAGATGGCCAACAGACACATGAAACGATGCTCAGCATCACTCCTCATCAGGGAAATACAAATCAAAACCACACTGAGATACCACCTCACGCCAGTCACAGTGGCTAAAATGAGCAAATCAGAGAACTCTAGGTCCTGACGAGGATGTGGAGAAACGGGCACCCTCCTACACTGTTGGTGGGAATGTAAACTGGTACAGCCCCTCTGGAAAACAATGTGGAGGTTCCTCAGGAAACTAACAATGGAACTCCCCTATGACCCAGCAATAGCACTGTTAGGAATTTACCCAAGGGATACAGAAATGCTGAGGCATAGGAGCACATGGACCCCAATATTCATAGCAGCACTCTCCACAATAGCTAAAACATGGAAAGAGCCTAAGTGTCCATCAACAGATGAATGGATCAAGAAGATGTGGTTTATCTATACTATGGAATACTACATGGCAATGAGAAAGAATGAAATCTGGCCATGTGTAGCAACATGGATGGACCTTGAGGGTGTTATGCTGAGCGAAATAAGTCAGGCAGAGAAGGACAAATATCATATGTTTGCACGTATAGGAGGATTAGGAGGAACTTGACGGAGGAACAAGGGGGAGAAGAAGGGGGGAAATGGTGGAGGAAAGGGAGAGAGGCAAACCATGAGAGACTCTTGAATGCTGACAAAAACTGAGGACTGATGGATGTGGGGGGGAGGGGGAATGGGCATGGAGTTGGGCACTTGTGGGGATGAGCACTGGGTGTTATGTGGAAACTAATTTGACAATAAACTATTTGTAAAAAATAAATAAATAAATAAATAAATAAATAAATAAATAAATGAAGTGCTCAATTTGGAAATGAAGATTTTATTTTACCTGGAAGAGCAGCCTTATACCTAAAAAGCAGCAAGGTCTAGGAATTGTACCTTGAGATAAAATAAACCCTTTATCAACAATTGAGCAAAGGAGGGGCGGGAAAAGGAGAGAGAGACAAACGAAGAAACAGACTCTTAACCAGAGAGACCAAACTGATGGTTATCAAGGTGGGTGGGAGATGGGTGAAACAGGTGAAGGGAATTAAGAGTACGCTGATCTCAGGGTGCCTGGGTGGCTCAGTCGGTTGAGTGTCCAACTTCAGCTCAGGTCAATGATCTCTCGGTTCATGGGTTCAAGCCCTACATCAGGCTTTGCACTGACAGCGCAGAGCCTGCTTAAGATTCTCTGTGTCTCTCTCTGTCTGCCCCTCCCCTGCTCCTTCTCTCTCTCAAAACTAAACAAACATTTTAAAAAATGTTTTTTTTAAATACACAGATCTTGATAAGCACTGAGAAATGTACAGAATTGTTGAATCACTGTATTGTACACTTGAAACTAATATAATACTGCATATTAACTATACTCAAATTAAAATAAAGAACTTAATAAAAATGAGTAAGTCCTTTATCATCAGGAGGGCAGACCCCTGGAATAACTGCTATGCCTCAACCTGCGCTTCCCCACTGTCCTCACAACCTTGGCCCTTGGAGAATATCCAGGTATATCCACTCCTTCCCTCTCTGGGAGGGTTATGTGTTAGGCAAAGGAGTAAAATAAAATATGGTCTATCGCTTCCGCTCATCACTAAGAAATGAATTTTCAAAAGATGGGTGGGAGGAAAGATAAGAGACTGGTGTTGCTCATTGCTAGGCATTCTCTCTGATTATACATCTTCTGGTTCTTTATACAGCCTGTTTGTTTCCTTACCTACGAAACTGAAGTTAACAAGCGAAGGGCTTTGGGTATGAGAACACTGAGGACCATATCAAACAGCCCAAAGCAAACAAAACCATGAGCATGAACATAATACCTACATGGTAACAGCGTTCAGAATTCCAGTAGACAGTCAGGTTTGTTCCGTGTAGTTCGTTATGGATGAGCAGCAAAGCTTGGTCCATCTTAAGATCTACATGCTGTTTTTTATCTAAATCTGCTAAGAATTAGAAAAAAAAGTTTTAAAAAACAGAAAAACAAAGCATCTGAAAGACACATAAGAAACAAAGAGCACCTGTGTCAACTTCACAGGGGTGCTTCTTGAATGCCTGCACTCCAGGGTTCAGGGGTCTCTCGTCCCTTACTCTGTGAACATGACTGTGCTTGCACACAGGTGTGTGCATGAGAACACACACACACACATGTGAGCATGCGCGCGTGCGCGCGCACACACACACACACAGAGTTACCCTCTTTGTACACATGCCTCTACTATAAACGAGAATTCAGTTAACATCATTCACGTCCTGTGTGTACCCAGACCATGTAGGACCTTACATTCATCACGTGCTAAAGTTTGACAAGCACTCAATTTACTAGTTTCATGTATCTTCCACTTGACAAAATGTCAACCTCATGAGCTGGGTACTTTCTCCATTTTGCAGATGAAGAAATAGAGGCTCACAAGCATTAGATAATTGCATGTGGCCAGAGTTCTGCAAAATCACTGTGTGAACCCAATTTGTATGACTCCAAAGTCCAAACTTTCTTCAATCATGTTACCCCCCTCCCAATCCCTCCCGAGCGCAGCTCAGAAGTCAGGACACTGGGTCAGCAGGGCTCTGTGGGGATTGGCATGCCCTTCAAAGTTTGAGATGCTCTGCCTTCTACCACTTTGGTTGGACTTCTGAATCTCCTCCTGGCTGCCCCCAGAAGAGAGAACATGAACCTCAGTCCAAAAGGAGGAAGACCCACCACTCCAGAGTCCCTAGGCTTAGAGCTCATCACTTTACTAGATGCTCTTAGGACGATCTAAGGACACACATTCTACATTTACACCTGCCACCTTGGTAGGCAAACAAAGAGAACTATTATTGGCTAAAATGAAAGCAAAATGTTTCATTTAGACCAACCTCACCATTTATACTGTTATACTGTATGAAAGAGAAATTAATTTGCCCTCTAGCGTCCAGGCCAAAAAAAAAAAAAGAGAGAGAGAGAGAAAGAGAAACTATTTAATAACACAATAAGAAAGGTAATAACCTAGCCTCTTTTATTTTGTAATATGAAAGCTTACTTCAGGGCTCCCAGGAACTCCTGCGAATGGTTAATTCAGGAAATTCTTCACTGTAGGCAGCCTAAATCCCTCAGTTTATTATTTTTAAAAAGTATGTGTTTATTTAGAGACAAAGTGCACACACAGAAGCAAGGGAGGGACAGAGAGAGGGGGAGAAAGAATCCCAAGCAGGCTCCACTCTGTAAGCACAGAGCCCAACATGGGTCTCCATCTCAAGAAACATGAGATCATGACCTGAGCTGAAATCAAGAGTCAGAGTCAGACACGTAACTGACTGAGCCACCCAGGTGCCCCTAAATCCTTCATTTTAAGGTTTACCCCAATTTACCCTTATTTAGCTCTCGGTAAATACAAATCCCACAATATATCACTCTTAACAATCTATTCAAGACTGTTCCCCCTCTAGGCTAAAGAAAGTTATATCCATCACTTTCTCTGTTCTTTGCTTCTGGAGAGCTTCTCCTAGTGGAAGCAGTGTTTGGGACTAAGGGTGTAACACGGTGGGTTAAGTGTCTGGACTCCAAGTTAGACCAATTTCAATTTGAATCCCACCCTGTCTCAGCTTCCTCAACAATAAATTAAGCATCCAAAGGTTCTACACTCAATTTCCATTGTGGGATGAAGGTTCCCACACCACCAAGCAATTCTCAGGCACCAGCTGGGTGTCCTACAATTCAACTCAATTCTGACACTATGCACCTGGAGACAGTGTCAGATCCCGCAGATAGGGGCTCAGTCCCACACGCCTTCAGATGTCAACCACCAGCACAGCGTCCCACCTGTGCTTCTGACTGACCAGCTATGGATTGGAGGTTCGTATGACCCCCTTCTCACCCTCGATTCATTTAATAGAGTGGCTCACGGAATTCAAACATCTTACTACTAGATTACTGGTATATCAAAAGCTCTCCAAACCCCCTCCTTTGAGTTTTTATGGAGAGTTCACTACCAAGGCAATTGATTACACCACTGGTCGTTTATGACGGATTCAACCTCCAGCTTCTCTCCTTTCCCCAGATCCTGGCTGTAGGACTGACAGTTCCAACTCTCAAATCACAGGGTGGGTTCTCCAGGTCACCAGCCCCAGCCTCCAATGCAGGCCAAAGGTCACCTTGTTAACATCACAAGGGACACCTTAGGGGCTCTCTCCACTGCAGAAATTGCAAGGGGTCTAGAAGCCCCTGTGCAAGAAACAGGGATGAAAACCAAATATATTTATTTCTTGATATAAATCACACTTGTAACAGCATGTCCTTCACAGGACTGCTGGGAAGGCTAAAGTTAATAATATATGGAACGTGTTGGCACAGAATCTGCAACAAAGCAGGTGTTCAACACATGCTAATTACAACGTCCAGGCCACATCTAAGCAACACAGAGCTTCATTAGGGTCAAGAACAGACGGCTGAATATTTTTCAGTTTCTTCTTTTTTCATGTAACTTCATTTCCATTTTCTTCCCATTTCCTCTTTTTTTCCACTGTAAGAAATGATGCTACCTACATCTGAAAATTAACCTGTTCTCCTTTTGACATAATTCCTTAACTTCCAGGAGCGAAATTTTACAGATTTTTAAAGTGTTTGCTCTGCATTGCCAAAATCCTCTCCATTTTAGTTGTGATTTATAATGACAACTGTGACCGTGGGCTCCCAGGTGATACAAATAACTATATACTCAACATGTACCAGGCACCAACAGCCCTGTGAACAGCTACTGCTGTGTCCATTTTCTGGATGAGGAATCTGAGGCCAAAGTCACCCACCATCCACCAGGATTTAAGCTGCAGCCAGTCTGACCAGCACCTGACCTCTGTTGCCAGTCTCCTGAGAGTAAATATTTTTCTCCTTCACTTTTTAGCCTGATATATAGAAAATCTAATTTTCTTATTATTTTAGCTTTGAAGTAACGATTAGCAACTTTGAGATGTTTTCCAAATGTTTATCATCAGTACTTTCCTTTCATGTGAATTGTTGGGATGTTCATTTATTTAACCACTTAATCCCCAATAGAAAGGAGACAGCAGACCCAAAATGGAGTCGCTTATGCTACACCACACCAAGACTTAATATCTTTCTTTTTTTTAAAATGTTTATTTATTTTTGAGAGACAGAGAGAACACATGGGCATGTGTGGCCGGAAGAGGGGCAGAGAGAGAGGGAGACAGAATCCGAAGCAGGCTCCAGGCTCTGAGCCGTCAGCAACAGACTCCAACATGGGGCTCGAACTCACAAACTACGAGATCATGACCTGAGCCGGAGTTGGACGCTTAACTGAGCCAGCCAGGTGCCCCTAAGCCCCACCAAGACTTATCTAACCTAACCTAACCTAACTGCAGCTTCAGCTTCTGCCAGGAATGTGACCTTCAACCAGGCAACCTGGAACTTCCCAGTGAGCACCAGGAGGTAATCCCCTGACAGGCCCCTTCTGTTCCCCTTAGGAAGGTGACCTGGCCAAAAACAATCCATTTTTATGAAAAATTTCCTTTTTCCTTTCCCTTTCTGCCTTTAAAAACTCCTTTTCTGCAGCTCAGTGAAGTTCCTTTCTACACTATTTGCTAGATGATCTTGAAATTTACTCAGTTAAATTTTTGTTCTTTAACAGATTTGGTGGCAGTGGGGGGACTGAAGGAGACTTCCAACGGCTTGGGGGGAAATGAGAAACGTGAGTGTGGTACCCCACAAGCACTCTGAGTTCACAGTCTTCCTCACCAGGTCCGAGAGCCATGGGTAAGTTCTCTCTTGGTTCTGTGCTCCGCTCTGCATCAAGCTCTCAATCTAATTGGCTCTTCAGTCTGCAATCCCAGAGTTTTTGAGTGGAAAACCCCAGCCCTTAATCCTGTCCCAAGATCTACATGGGAACTGTGGGTAACGGTGCGCTCCCTGGGGAGCCCCCAGTCTGTAATCCCCATTTGTTGGGGTTTGCTGGTCTGACCCTTGCCCCAGCCCGAGGACCCACAGGATTGCTGCTGGCGACACAGGGCCTTCTATTAGCCATTTCACAGAAACTTCCACTCCCCAGGTTTGATTCAGACTCAACGCTGGGAACTGTTGGCATTTCAGTCTGCAGTTCTCTGTCGTTTTGGAATCCCCCTCCCCCAGAGGCCATGTCAGGAACTGCAGGCCGCAGTGGCAGTTCTCCGTTTGTTTGGAATCAGTCCAGGGGTCCCCATTCTTTGAGGTCTGCTGTTTGCACACTTTCCCCAGTCCCCAGTTCTTTGGTTATACTCATGTCCAGTTTCAGTTCCTCAGATACTACCGCTTTCTGTTAATGTGTGCATGACATAAGTTAATTGCTAATAGGAATCATGCAGGCCAAAAGAATCACAAAAATTGGTGAGCACAAGTCAAACATTTAAGAGCTCTTAGAACACTTACCACTTAGCCCAAAGACACCTGGGTTAGGATGAGCCGGTCACAGAACCAATTAGGTTGGCACTACATCACCCACTAACCTCGAGAGAAATTCTGCACAAAGAGGTGCACCGTGAAACAGCACACAACCTCAACCCCATCGTTGCACATCCCTCTTAGCTACTGATCTGGCTCTAAGAAACTCTTCATCAGTTGATGATGCATCAAAACCTTTTGATATTTTTAAAAGTTTATTTATTTATTTTGAGTGTGAAAGAGAGAGAGACAAAGTGCATGAGTGGGGGAGGGACAGAGACAGAGGGAAAGACCGAATCCCAAGCAGGATCCACACTGTCAGTGCAGAGCCTGAAGAAGGGCTTGAACTCACAAAACCTGAGATCATGACCTGAGCTGAAATCAAGAGTCAGATGCTTCCTGACTGAGCCACTCAGATGCCCCCAAACCTTTTGATATTTTTAATTCTTTTTAAATGTTTGTTTATTTTTGAGAGACAGAGTGCAAGCCAGGGAGGGGCAGAGAAAGAGAGAGAGACAGAATCTGAAGCAGGCTCCA